ACTCTTCGACACGAGATGCCTTTAAACAGTATGATCAGCCGAAAGCGCATGGTATCAGCAGTACTGAGCATCGTGATGGGGGATTCAAGAATTGAGGAATCGAAAATAAACGACATACCGGGACTTTGGATGGCTTCGTGACTGAATGCAGAGAAGAGCAGTCTGCACGAGACTCGGAGACCCCCGACGAAGCAGGGCTGGGAGAATTGATGCGGGACCTCGCACGCGTCACTCTTGACCTGCTTCTGATATCTAACTTCTTTGGGGTGGAGCTTGATTGCTTTGCCATGGTATCAGATATCTTGACAGGCGTGTTGTGGTAGAACAGTGGAAGAAAAATGTTTTTCTGTAACGAAGATTGGGAATCGAAGCTTTTAATACAGAGCAAGTTTTTGAGAGATGATCTGCAACGAAGCACAAAAGTATGTTGCCCTGCCAAGCAACCCTAGTGGTACCAGTCTTCTGAGCCCGAAGTCTCAATTGTGCATTCACGCCGAGAATTCGGAGTCTGTTAGTGTGCCAGAAAGTACCGTCAATATTCTTGATGCCGCATAAATATAGACGTGATGCATTTGTTGATGTTCGACAGAGACCCGCACAAACATGAATGCCGCGTACACGAATGGAGGGGTCTCTAGAGGTTCCCCGAAGAGAGGCTGTGTATATACGGAACATGATGACTTGCTGCTGCATAAGTTCAGATACCTGTGAACCGCCAGAAGCCAACTCCAAACCCCCCTTTTCTTTTCTTTTTCTTTTTAAGCAAAGCTAATTCCAGATAAGAATGCACGTGGAAAAGATTGAATTCCATGTTCTCGCCATGGCCACTTACCTTGGTACAGTGCATGGCTCAAATCCTAATTTCTCTGTGACTCAAAGCCACGAAGCACACGCTTTGAGAGCGCAAAGCACAAGGTTACCAGTGTTGCTCCCAAATGCCTTGAAGGTGATTCGCGATGCACTTTTGAACGGATCCCACATAGGGGAGAACTTCTCCACTTCTCTATTACCCGGGTGACCATTCTGTCGATCCAGTCGAGGGAAAGATCTAGAAGCTATCTTCCCTGCATCGAATCTTCTTCCAATACCTTACTTGTCCACTCGATGGTTCATCCTCCAGGTCCGAATTTATCACGGTCTAGAACACCATCTCATTCAGGGTCGTGCATGCTTGGCAGGAAAAAATAGGTTTACATGAATAAGTTGGGAACAATTTAGACGCCGATTAGCTTTCAGAAACGTCAGGGTCGGCGTTGTAGGCCAGAAGACTCTGGTCAATCCGAACTCTATCTGTAATGCCGTGGTGTGTTTTTGTGAAATACGCCTCTGCCTGTGAATGTAACCTTTCTTGCATTGGTAAATTGCTTTGGGAAAAACGACCGAAAGGGTGCAAGTATATTGAGGGACAGCTCTTCACGAATATCTTATCCTGTCAAGGAGTCTTTATTCGACCTTTTCCGATTATAAGACATTCTTTCAGGTATCAGCTTCAAATCACCCATTCATGGAAAATCCGGTCTTCTCGTCTGAGCTGTCCCGACCGAGTGTTTCCACGGGTTGACCAAAAAGCATCCCAGCTTTTGACAAACCCCACTTGTCGATCTTTGGAAGCCGAAAATTTACTTTATCTCTCTAAGTTTTCCATTGGCATCCAAATTTTCTGGTTAAAGGGAGAATTCTATTGTCTGGCTAAACTGGCTAAGTGATCAAGGCCAATCATGTTTAGTGTTCGTCACAGCCTCTGGGTTATCAACAAGTCTGCGACCCATCGAGCCATGTGTGGACCCAATATGATCTAAAAGCTCCCCGAGTCATTGTCAGGAGCCCTGGCAACCACGTCATGATCGCATTGCGAGAAGATCACATGTTGAATAGTAGTCTTTAAAACCGTCTACCCACCATGTCCACCTCATAGCTCTCAAGTTCTCTTCGTTTGCAACAAGTCTGCAGTTATCATGGACACGATCATTAGCAGCCTGCCACCAGACGTCGGGGCCATCCTGATGAAAAACGTCTCGATCATCCAGGTCGTGGCCATGTTCTCAATCGGTGCCTACAACGCCTTCGAAACAGCAATCGTCACTTTCGACACGTTCAAGCGCTACAGTGGTCTCTATTTCTGGAGCATGCAGGTCGCGTCTTGGGGCATCCTTGTGCATGCACTGCCTGCCATGGCTCGTTTTGTCTCTCAGGCGTCTAATCTTTCTACGTCAATCCCTTTCATCATCGGGTGGTACGCCATGGTTACCGGTCAGGCCGTCGTACTCTATTCACGTCTGAACCTCGTTGTCTCCAACATGGGAAAGGTGCGGTGGGTTTTGTGGATGATCATTGGCAATTTTTTCATTCTCCACGTCCCCATGACCGTCCTATTCTTTGGCCTGAACCAAGGTGACGCACACTTCGCTCGACCTGCCGCGATATACGATCGCATCCAGGTGACAGGCTTCTGCGTACAAGATTTCATCATTTGCGGGATTTATATCTACGAAGCAATCCGAGCTCTCCAGCCGATGATCGAGATCCGAGGTCGCAATGGTCGGAATGCCATCATACATCTGCTCTGGATCAACATTATTGTCGTGTTGCTCAACATTCTACTCCTTCTCGCGGAGTACAAGCTGCACTACATTCAAGTGAGCTTCAAGACCGTGGTGTACAGCATCAAGTTGAAGTTGGAATTCTCCGTGTTCAATCGTCTCCGGTCGTTGACGAGCACGCAGCCCAGTCTATCCCAGTATGCGCCCGAAGAGCGGCACAGATCAAGCAAGACGAGTCTCCTGGACAAGATATTTCCATGGGTTTCTGTCACACCGGATAGAAATGTGAGACCTGAGGCTGCTCAGAGAGAAACTCCACGAGGCGCATGCGCAACATCGAATGAGAACAGCCCTCGCCCTGGAAACACCTCGTTCACACGACTCTCTGCCAATACCGCAATCAATTCTCCCACGGGCTCATCAGACAGTCTGCCCACGCTAGAATTGAGTCTGTCTGAATTTTCACCCAGATTGGATGTATGAACTTTCACCGAGGAATGAGCAATGGGTCTTTTTCTAGATTACAAACTATAGTGAGAGTTGATTTAATGATTCATGCAAGAGGCAAACGATTCAAGTGTGGCTAGGAGCCGACGCGAGCTCCCCATGAGATGACATTCCGGACTTTTGAAGATGTTGATATTGGTGCAAAGTACCCGAAAGAGAGCTAGACATTACGATTGCTAAATGATGTAGAGAAACAATGGCATTGTGATACATTGTGATCATGAAAGAACAAATGACGACAAAGAATATGTCAATTACTGTAGAAGATCGTCTGCATTCCATGTAAGCCTCCTCGGTGTACTTTCATTCTCGATGATTGGCCTTGATGAGAAACAGTCTTCGTCTGTATCGTGTGCACGCTGAGTCTCGGGCATCAACTCTGCACTCAGATCACTGTGCTTGATCCCACTTGGCATCATAAGTAATACATTTACTAGGCATCTGCCGATCAATCTATTCATTTGGTTGAGAAATTAAGCCACCATGTTCGAAAGTTGCATCGCAGATACCACCGCTGAAACCGGCTCCTCAAACAACTATTGATCGTGGGTGTTTCAACAGTTGGACTTGAGAAGACATAAATAGACGTCGCAAAATGTGGATGTGAATCGTGTTAGAGAGCGTGCGACGGTGAGAACGCTTTGATACTGTTCGCGCTTAGTGCCAAGGTCACCACCTGCCGTTTTGTCAATTACTTTCATGTATAAGTAATGCGCTCTACATGGAACGAGGAATTCTTTGTCACATCAGCAAGAACCGGACCCAACATGAAGGACAGAACTGCTTCCAGTACCTGGCATCGCGCCACCATCTTCCTCATCAGTTTTTGGGGTTGTCCTACTTGTCTGTCCTTCTTACGCAGGTTTTCGTATTTCATTGCCCTACGCTCCGCAATGGAACTCTCCAGGCACTGTTTGTCATTTTCTTCTACGCCAGTGTCATGTTATTGTTCTCGTTGATCCTACTCGATCAAGTCTCGCCAATCCGAAAAGGCCATCCCACGGTGTCTCGGAGATTGGATTTTGAGCTTGCAGCTGTATTAGCCGTTACAGGGAGGATCGAAATCAGATTCACCACTTGCACACAGAGATTCTTTCTCGAACCCTCTATCGAAACGCGCTATGCCTATTACAGTTACCCTACCCCTGACCCCTTTTCTTGGCAGTATTTCAGTACGGTTGTAAATAACGCCACAAAAGTAGCTAACCCCCATCCCGGTGATACGAAATGCCCTATGTGATGAAACGCCCACTAGGTACCTGCACTTTCGAGCTCAGTCACTCCCCATCCACATATTGAATATGGTCTGAGGCGAGCAGAAACAATAGTTACCTGAATCATTATTCGATAGCTGTTTTCGAACCACGATCACAAAGGTTTAGAGTGGCGGATTACAAGACGACACGCACTACTAGAAAATCCGCTGTTTGCTACTATGACGCTAAATTATCCACATAAACGCCAGAGATGGATACGAAAGACAGATTTTCATTATTCCGCCTACCCGGCCATCTCTATTGGGTTTCTATACCATCAAAATCATGTTGCATGAAGATTTATCAATTTGGGTGAAACTCTTGGCAGCCAAAAGGTACATAAGACAAAAGTACTGAAAAGGCGAATACTCCGGAAGAAAACAACCATGTAACTTGCTGTATGAAAGTTACTAGTGCTCCAAAAACGGAATTGCCGCCCCACAACCCTCTCCGCAAGTAGAAGATGGCCTACTTTAAGGAAACACAACTCTAGTCGGAGTACTTGAGGACCGCCTCTCAAATTATGCGGGCGTAGTAGTGTGGGAAGGAAATCTATTGGCAGCATGTTATCTCTATGTATATTACCTGTGGATTTAATATAGGTCTAGGAAGATTATTGAGCCTCATCGCGTTTCCCGTATTGATCTAGATCGTCTAAAGAAGGTCGAGACTAGTTACTGTTCCAGAGTGATCAAGCCTAAATTTTGTCTTGTGCTTCCAACGCCCGTCGATGCATCGCTTCCGCCTCTTTATATTTCCCTTGGCTAGAGAGCACACTGCCAAGGTTATCGACACTGGTGAGCGTGGAGGGATGCTCGCGTCCAAGCACCTTCTCACTCCCTTCTAGTGCCCGTCGATGCATCGCTTCCGCCTCTTCATATTTCCCTTGGCTGGAGAGCACTAAGCCAAGGTTATTGACACTAGTGAGCGTGGAGGGATGCTCGCGTCCAAGCACCTTATTACTCCCTTCCAGATCTCGTCGATGCATCGCTTCCGCCTCTTCATATTTCCCTTGCCTGTCAAGCACACTGCCAAGGTTGTTGACACTGGTGAGCGTGTCGGGATGCTCGCGTCCAAGCACCTTCTCTCGTGTTTCCAACGCTCGTCGATGCATCGCTTCCGCCTCCTTATATTTCCCTTGCCTGTCAAGCACACTGCCAAGGTTGTTGACACTGGTGAGCGTGTCGGGATGCTCGCGTCCAAGCACCTTCTCTCGTGTTTCCAACGCTCGTCGATGCATCGCTTCCGCCTCCTTATATTTCCCTTGCCTGTCAAGCACACTGCCAAGGTTGTTGACACTGGTGAGCGTGTCGGGATGCTCGCGTCCAAGCACCTTCTCTCGTGTTTCCAACGCTCGTCGATGCATCGCTTCCGCCTCCTTATATTTCCCTTGCCTGTCAAGCACATTGCCAAGGTTACTGGCACTGCTGAGCGTGTGGGGATGCTCGCGTCCAAGCACCTTCTCTCGTGTTTCCAACGCTCGTCGATGCATCGCTTCCGCCTCCTTATATTTCCCTTGCCTGTCAAGCACACTGCCAAGGTTACTTACACTGCTGAGCGTGTCAGGATGCTCGCGTCCAAGCACCTTCTCTCGTGCTTCCAACGCCCGTCGATGCATCGCTTCCGCCTCTTCATATTTCCCTTGCCTGGAGAGCACGAAGCCAAGGTTACTGACACTGGTGAGCGTGGCGGGATGCTCGCGTCCAAGCACCTTCTCTCGTGCTTCCAACGCCCGTCGATGCATCGCTTCCGCCTCCTTATATTTCCCTTGGCTGTCAAGCACATTGTGAAGGTTACTGACACTGCTGAGCGTGTGGGGATGCTCGCGTCCAAGCACCTCTTCATATCCTTCCAACGCCCGTCGATGCATCGCTTCCGCCTCTTCATATTTCCCTTGGCTGTCAAGCACGCTGCCAAGGTTACTGACACTGGTGAGCGTGTCGGGATGCTCGCGTCCAAGCACCTTCTCACTGCCTTCTAGATCTCGTCGATGCATCGCTTCCGCCTCTTCATATTTCCCTTGGCTGTCAAGCACACTACCAAGGTTACTGACACTGGTGAGCGTGGAGGGATGCTCGCGTCCAAGCACCTTCTCTCGTTTTTCCAACGCCCGTCGATGCATCGCTTCCGCCTCTTCATATTTCCCTTGGCTGTCAAGCACACTACCAAGGTTACTGACACTGGTGAGCGTGGAGGGATGCTCGCGTCCAAGCACCTTCTCTCGTGCTTCCAACGCCCGTCGATGCATCGCTTCCGCCTCTTCATAAGCTCCTTGAAGATCTAGAAACCATCCACAATTAGATAAGAGGGTGGCCTCATTCAATCGATCTCTATCAACTGTATCAGAGATAGGCTTCGTCACCTCTTTCGCATGCGGAAGCAGCCTTTGGCATTCAGCCCAGCTCTCGTATTCTCCATTGGGAAACATCTCGGCCATGATAGCTCGCGACTCTTCTTGCCACTGTGCCAGCTCGAGGTGGATCGCTAGCCACGTCCGGACCGATAACTGGACAAGTCGGTGCATATCAAATGACCCTGTTTCAAGTTCAACCCGAACCAGAGAATAACTGATCAGCGGCGCCACTGCATCTTCAAACTGGAGCCCATCACCATCCGTACGGACGAGGCCTTCGGGGATCCCCTGTCGATCAAACATGCTCATTAACGCAAGTAAGTCCGTCGACGCTGGCCGCTCCTGGCGGATTTGGTCGAAGGATAGCTGCCATGTCGTAATGACCGCATACCGAATACTGGGGTCCCGCCGGAGGTCCTTGGCGTCCTCGTGCTGCAGAAGATGTGTCTGGTTCGACTCGCTCTCACGGAACAACTGAAGGTACCGGGAGACCGAGACCCGAGGTGATCGATTCGCAATATAAGACCCCGCCTGGGTGATGGCCAGCGGAATGTATTCTAGTGCTCCGACCAGTGCCTTCTCGTCCTCTCCAGACTCTCCAGGCCGGGGGGGCGGAATCCTGGCCCGTAACAAGGCGAGGGACTCTTCCTCACTCATTGGCTGAACCTGGATTACATGACCGTCGCTCCCCACCAGATTCCGTGCCGCAAGGCCATTTCGCGATGTGATCAGGATGGATCCATGGGCAGCCTGGGGCAGGAAGCTTACCAGTAGCCCTCGTTCATTGGATTCATTTCCACTGAAGAATATACTGTCATCATCCGCATTATCTAGCACCATCAGCCAGCGCCCATTGCCTGGATCACACAGCCAATGATACACGAGCTGGACGATGTTCGTCTTCGGATCCTCCTGTCCCGGAATCTCCGCGACCGCGGCAATCTGCTGGTAGCCCTGTTCCAACCGCGCCGCATTGCTAGCGTGGATCCAAAAAACCCACGTGTCCGGGGCTCGATCTCGTACATTGAAAGAATACTCGATGGCTGTCTGGGTTTTTCTAAATGGCAGGACCATCAGTTGTTATTCCACAGGCTTTCTTATAGGGACAGCTCACCCAACGCCGGCCAACCCCACCAATGCCACCCGCTCATGACGCTGACCGATCGCCTTGTGTCTTTCCTGGATGGCACTGATGACAGCCTTGCGGCCAACAAACATCGGGTCCTTCTTAAAAGGGACCGTGGAACATGGCTGGGGCTTCGGACGCGTCTGCGCTGGAACCGGTTCCCGTCAGTCGCATTAAGACTCGAGCAGAAGCGAGCTCGCAAAGGGACACTACAAAAAGGCACTGGAGCGAGTCACGTACCAAACCGAGCCGCCACCACCGAGGGCGCGTCCGTTGAGAACTGCCGCAGTTTCTCGAGCGTCGTGCGATACCCGGCCGCGTTGCGCGTGTCGAATTTGACCACCCTCGAGTGGTCTGCATGCAGCGGCACCTTGTCCTCTACATGGTCGGGGAGCTGGAGAAGGGCCGAGTCTGCGCCCACCGTCGTCATATAATTTCCAGTGCGTTTCCATCGCCCGCTTTCCGCGTCCTGTGGCGATCGTCAATACATGCCATAGCTTGTTTCAGACCAAGACCAACGCGTACTAATTTTAACTGCCTGGTCTGCTCCGTCTCGTAGAAGCTGACCACCTTCCGGTCCCGGATCAGATTTTTGAAATCCACTAGCTGGTGGACCAGAAGGTCCGATTTACTAGAGATCTGCTGCAGCAACTGCTCTCGCGGATGGCTCCTGTCGCCTGCTAGCATCTGCTGGATATCGTCCATCACTAATCCTTTGTGGGGGATGGCAAAGAGGATCATGCCGTACGTGGCTCGATGCAGCGACGTGATCGCTGGGTGGTCTTCCTCCATCGTCTGGATGGCCCTTACCAGACACTATAAGTGATGTCAGTATATTATGTCAATACCTCAAATCGGATGGTGGTCCCACGTGAGCCAAGATAATGCCTCCAAAGCTGTGCGCGATGAAAATCAGAGGTCTCTGCTGGAGCTACTCAGACAATCAGCCTACACTTGCTATCAATAGACAGTTAGATACCGTCTCCTACCTCCTTTGTGTTCCGGATTTTCTTGATCTCCTCCATCAGCTCCCGCCCATAGTCGAGGATCGTATCGACACCGTGGCTCGACAGCTTGGAATTATACCCATAGATCATCGTACGGCACTGCGGAAGATCCTTCGACAGAAAGTCACGGAGCCACATTCGACCGAGGTTGCCTCTGCCCTGCCACGATCCGTACGCATGTCCATCCAGTCCGGCAATGGCAATGACACTGTGTTGCGTTATCAGTTTGTATAAATCTACTAGATGTAGATGAAGGCATAGTCCTTACTCTGCAGCCACTGGCTCCTTCTCGTCTGGCGAGTAGAGCTGGGTGAACCCAAGGAAGTGGCAGTCGAAGTCAAGGTCATCGTCTCCCATCTCGACCTGCCAGTCTCCGAGTGGATCAACTCTCAGCTCATGAAGGAACTGAGGCACCCCGCCGCGAAACTGCACCAGCGCCACCCTCTGTGTGTCACTTTCGTAGCATGAAGGCACGATCGTGATCTCAGCCTTCATGTGCGACCTCTCGTCGTCGGTGAAGTTGTCGTTAAGTGCCTCTTGTAATGCGGTCTGAAGATTCTCATCAGGCAGTGCCCTCGAAAGGCCTGTCACCCGGAAGACGTGCGAATTTTTACTAGCCATCGTAATTTATCTTCTTCAGAGTGGTACATTAGATGAGAGTGGACTTTGCGTCCTTTGTTGATGGATTGTCTGGTCACCTTAGCCTTCCGGCGATGCTGAATCCACTGACAGGTGCGGGGTAGTAGGCACCTGACTTATAATGATTGCTATATCACTTATCTAGGGAGGAATTCGTTCGCAGCCATATACTAATCAGCCTAGAATCTAAAAGCTACTTTTCTTTAAAAGCAGATTATAAAAACTCCCATGAAGTTCTACCCCGATCCACATAATAAAGTTACTGGTCATTGAAGTTGTAGGTCGCGGGATCACATGATTCCGGCGGTGGAGAAGCTCCTCGTACGGGGACTTAACTTACTTAAAATAAACTCCGTGCCAGTCTTGCCTGTCGGAACAATGGATCATGTAATCAACTTTATTAGTCAGCGTACCACATGTTAAATTGCTGTGGTGGAGACTAGAGAATACCAGACAAGTACACAGACGTGACCCATACCATTGGTACATGCTGTTCGACCCTGATTACGTGTTCAGAGATTGCCTTGGTATCACGTGACATAGATTGGAACCAACCAAACTTAGGCTACAGATCATGCTTGTTTTGGACTGTCTTGGCGTATGGTACAAAACATGAAACGTAATACGGCCCCGTAAGTTACCCATGGATATAGTCGAAACAGTTTCTAGACAGTTCCAATGTTCTAGCTATTGATATCACAATCTGACATTTAATGAGATGTGAGCCGTTCATCTTCGTGATAACAGAATTTATTATTTTGATAATTTTCTTAACTATCACCAAGCAAAGGTCCACTTCAAGAGAAATTGAAAGGAGAGTCCTACTTTCTGCCAAAGAGGCGCGAGAATATTGTCCGCCTACGATGTCCGCCAGGTCTAGGAAGTGACTTGGAGGTTTCTGAGGAATTGCCTAGGACTGAGGCCTCTTTGGTGTCCGTTGGTGGTTTAGTGAGCTAGGAAGACGGGGAGTCAACCTTCCCGCGCCATTCGTTTAAAGCAGACTTGGAAGATGTAGTATGCGGATGGTTAGGGCCTAGTTTTCGGTCGCGAAGTTGAACGCATTCGGCCATCAACTGCAATGCGGCTGTGTATTGACCCGATGACCTCAGGGTATGAGCCAGGTTGTTCATGATCGTCAGCGTGTCAGGATGGTCCACGCCGAGCTTCGTCTTGCTCGTCTCCATGACCTGCACAAAGAGCTCCTCCGCCTCCTCCCATCGGCCCTGGTTCCAGAACGTCGATGCCAGGTTGTTCATGATCGTCAGCGTGTCAGGATGGTCCACGCCGAGCCTCTTCTTGCGAGTCTCCATGACCTGCACAAAGAGCTGCTCCGCCTCTCTCCAGCTCCCCTCCAGTAGGTAGGCTACTGCTAGCATTGCAGTACTATTAAGTGTTTCTTCATCCTCCAAACCCGATATCTTTATTCTCTGCTTTCTCGACATAGATGCCATTTCCCGCGAATCAGGGATATTGCCACATTCTTTCGCATACCACGCCCCGTTGTAAAGTAACCTAGCCCAGCTTCGGAGACAATCTTGCGATTTCGGTCGATGCGACATAGCTGACTTGACATGTGGAAAGAGTGTCCGGCATCTCTCCCAGTGTTCATATTGACCAGTCGGAAATTCAGCATGTAGATTTTCAATGAATCGTTCCTTCCAATCTTCGTCCTGGCCGTATGTTTTTAACCACGTGCGTACTGTGAGCTGCACTAGCCGATGCATCGTGAAAACCATGCTATTTTCACTCGTAGCAACGAAGGAATAGTCTCGGAGAGTTGTAATATCGCTCTCGAAATCGTCATCTAGGTCACGTTCAGACGAACTTTCCGTGTCCTCTCCACTAGAGCTGTTCGTAACCCCCCCCCCGAAGAACCTAAAGCTTTATGATTTTTTACCGTATCTTGAACCCGTAGAAGATCCTCAGGGATCCCCTGCCAGTCGAAAAAGCTCATAAGAGATAGTAAATCAGCCGCAGACTGCCTTATTCGTCGGATATGGTCGAACGATATTTGCCATGTCAGTAGAATAGAGTTCTTTGCCTCCCAGTCTCGATCCGTGTGAAGTCCCTCATGATTCAGAAGCTTCGTGGCTTGACGATCACTCTGCCGAAGCTTTTCGAGGTATTGCGATGCTGAGCAACGGGGTGAACGGTGCGCGATGTAGCTAGCCGCTTGCACAATCGCCAGCGGCATGAACTCAAGTTCCTCCACAAGCTGAACCAAGTCCGCTCTCTCTGCACATGAGTCCAGCTTGTGCTGCATTAGATCTATCGCCTCGGCCATATTCATTGGTTGTACATCGATCAGATTCTTCTTATGGCCGGCGATTTCCGATGCTACTGCTTTATTCCGGCTCGTGATAATGATGGAGCCATTCGAGGCTCCGAGAAGGTACCTTAGCGGTGGCTGCGTCGAGGTATGGTTCTGGGCGTTCGCTTGGGCGTCCGTACGGGTTGCCAGTGGTTTGCGAAGGAGCTCGTCATCATCTACATTATCCAGGACAAGAATCCATTCTCCGATATTTCCATCTTGCAACCAGTTCCCGAAGAGTTGGAATATATGAACGTTGCGGTCCTCGCGTCCGGGAATCTTGGCGCGGTCGGCCAGGTTGCGGAGACTTTCCTCGCAGCGCGCCGCAGTGCTCGCATGAACCCAAAAGACCCAGGTGTCGCTTGATCGCTGTCGGACTTGGTGGCAGTATTCGATAACAAGCCGAGTTTTCCTATTGTAAAGTTAGCCTTTGACGGACCGCCGTTACACCCGTGATGTCTTACCCCACACCGCCGAGACCAACGAGAACTATCCTAGACCCCGGGACTGACGATTTCTCGTGGAGTGTATTAAGGATTCCATCGCGGCTAACAAAGTCCGGGTCATGCGGGAACGGTACGGTCGACAGTGGCTCTGGACGGGGCTCTGGTATTTCTAGGAAAGCGTGTCGTTATTAGTCGATCCAACGTGGTCCTGTCCTCCACGCTATCGGGAACTAACTAGATGTGAAATTCATCACCCCATTGTTGATCCCTACCTGGGAACCTGAGTTTCCATCGCCAAAATTTATGGATTCCATAATTAACACAGGATATACAGAGTTAATCGTGTTTTGGGCGGAAGAAAGATGACGACCCCTCATCGAGGGCCTCAGCCTCACTATCAGGTGATCATGGGCGCTAAGCGTTTCATGGATTCGGCACGTTTCACTATGTGAGCATCCAATCATCCAGCAGCTAGCAGCCTCGCTCCGTCTCTTATGCGACCGACATGGCTGTGACTAGGATTGAGAAATAGCATAGAAATCAGAAAGGTCCTTCCGGAGCCATTCTGTGCGTGGGTGTTCCGTGGTTTCGATGAAGGTGATGGGGAGGGCTGCAATTACATGAGCGCGGTTGGGAGATTGGAGACAGCAAGGGGGTTTAGCGGGGGACGTATGACCCAACGACCTCGGCGTATCTGTCTTGTCAGGTTATTTACATTTCCATTCTGACGAGCAGGGATGATCTGTACCCTAGCCGAGTCCGGCCTAGGCGGTTTCACCATAGTCTTGGAAGTGGGGCGTGAGATAGTTTCTCTGTGTAAAACATGGAAGCCAATTTCGAATATTGCTGTATGTGAAAAGATGAGCGCAACCACAAGGCGACATAGACTGTACTCACGGACAGACAGGAAAAAGTTGGTGTCGATAATACAGTGATATAAACTTTAACGTTGTGTACCGAGCGGGAACCATCCCCAAAGCGATGTCGGACCCACCGACGGGAGGGCCCGAGCCCTTTCACACAAACACCCAAGAAACGATCGCCAGCATATCAGGGGAAGAACTCCAGGCCACGGCAGCTGCTGACAGCTCCAGCTTGCTCTCTGAGAATCGGAAGCGAACCCGGAGTGGCGATGTCTTCGCACCTGCGGACCCCGCTGCTCGAATCACCACCAAGGAGGTGTGGAAACTCATCGGCACGCTGAAAGACGTCATCCGCCGCCAAACCGCGGCCATCGTAGCTACCCAAGATGAACTGCAGGAGATCAAACACAATCAGAATGTTCTTCAGGAACAAACGAAAAGCTTCACGAGGAGGTGAAAGCGTTGCGAGCACAAGTGGAAAACGCCCCACCAGCGACGGCGACCAGGACCTGGGCCACAGTCGCAGCTAGCGGGCGCAATGACACCTCCCCGCTGAACCACCAAAAACCCGAGAAGGAGCAAAATTGCGTTCGAATCAGCACTCAGAGGACCTTCGTGGACCCAAGAGACAGTACTGACGATGATGGAAACGCCTTCGGGCGATACCTCCCCATCGATGCCGCCAACAACCACATTCGCACCGCATTGCAGAGCGAAGCCGCAACGCAGGACGTCCAAGTGGCGGGAATCGGCACTACCAAAACCGGCTATATCATTCGATTCAAGAACACGGAGTCGACTGAGGCGGCCCGCAACAACACTAAGTGGCTACATAACTTGGGCAACCACACCAAGCTGGTAAAACCACGATTTGGTGTCGTCGTACACCGAACCCCCACCGAGGAATTTGACCTGGAAACCGGGGCCACTCAGGCAGCAGAGAAAATTATCGAAGACAACGACCTAGCTGAACACGGCTTTCGCATCGAAGAGCTGGCTTGGATGAAATCAAAAGACAAGACCCTAGGGAAATTCGCATCTCTGGGAATTTGGTTCGACTCCGCAGAGGGAGCGGAACATATGCTTCGGCAAGGGTTCCTTGTCAGCGGGAACTATATTCACCAGGTGGAGCGACGCGAGATTAAGAAGAAGAGATGCTTCCGATGCCAACGGTTTGGCCATCTAGCATGGACGTGCAAGGAAACGCCACGATGCGGACACTGTGCGGGCCAGCACGAACGGGAGCGCTGCCCACCCGGAGTAAGGGCCCGATGCCTCGACTGTAGTGGTGAACACCCTACTGGTGATCGACAGTGCTCAGCTCCAGCGGCGTTTAGCCCCGCTAGATGCTAAAGAGAAACC